CAATCCAGTTGTCATACCCACTTATCAGTGCATTTGGAAGCCATTAGTCAAAGCCAATCAAACTCATTTACTGGTTGAGGGTATCGATGGTATTTCACGTAACCGTGTTTTGTGAACTTCCCTTTCTTGCTTTTTACCGGCACCGAACTTATACAATATATGTCACTGATCAGAGCTACTAAGGGGATTTGAAGTAATGCGAACCAGCTATCAATGAAGATACCGACCTGAAGTTAATGTTATACGTTCAACGTACCCAAGTTCAATTAACGCACGAAAACTAGCCAGCAGTGATCAAGTGGCAGGAGTCACCAAATTGTCGTCCGCGAATTTCAGTTTGAACCCCACCGCTGTCACTTACTGTTCCATATATCTTTATAGCATGGCAAACATGGCCGCTGCCCTCTTCCTGGAAATTATTTTTACAATCATGCGTTCAATATAAGTAACTAGCCTAGTGAGAAAAGACAGATAGATACTGATTGTACCTATTCATCTATGTTCAGCAGCTTGTCCGTAGTTTTTCTTACCTCAAAGCGTTCATTTCTCATATAAGAATCAAATTTAATGTAGCAAGCCTTTTGCAATTCCGTTGCATTCCTTTGCTGCGGCAAACCTTCCTTCAAGATCGTGTGTTAGTTTGTGAGTTCTACACATAGGATGCAAAAGATGCGCTCATGCATGCAGACCTAATCCAGTCAGCAATCCTTTTGTGGCCCAAGTGGCTTCACTTTGCTTGACCATGGTGACCAAGATTCAATCAAAACTGGAAGGATCGGCATCAAACGCCTTCAGCGGTAGGATCTTTTGTTCCTTCCGGAGGGGATTTAAAAGATGAAAAGTATAACAATTAGCGCATCACCTACGATGATCGATTGTTCCATGGAAAGTTATGAACTGACCGCTCTCGACGTATTGCGCAAGCACACAAGTCCAAGTCTGTTCATTTGGGTGTAACCGTCGTTCGTCGGTTGGTGAAAAGCATACTGACAACGTAAAAAAACTATATCCGATGAAGTGGTGTTATAATATCGCACAAAATACCCCTATTAAAATTTAATTGCACCCTCAAATCGTAAAAAAGCGAGTCATGTTTTTCACGGTGCATATGCTCTGTTGGTTCCACTCAATGTGAGTGTCTAACTAATGAGTTAAAATATAACTCTGCTAATATTCTCGACCGGTTAATATTTGGGGATACAGTATGCAATACCATTCAATCGAATCGACATAATGTTGTGCAGTGTTGTAACTGATTTACCATTGTCTGTAGTGTTCTTATGGTAAACCCTACGACAAAATTTCTATGGTCATAGGGTCCCGCAGTGGATGAGACTACGGTAAATGAGAGACCGATTGCCGTGGTGGCCTTAGCTATCGTTTATTTCAGTGCGATTTACTGCAGTGAGAACAGTCATAGCTGTTCTGCTGTTGGCATCAAGTGAGCCCATTACCAGCATTTACTCGATAGAACGCCTTTTTCTTTTCTGTTCTCACTTAAGGTGGTCGTGATTGCAGTTTGACGGATCTTAACTAGTACCAGGTTTTCATCTGACAAATGAAACGTGTTTTCTAAACTCTGTCGAATTGCGCGGTTAGCATCTTACTATTGTTACAGCGGTCGGTAGACAGGCTGGCGTGAAAACCAAAAAGGCTACATAAGTACACGAATTTCGTTACTCGTGTTTCTCATAATATCATTTTTTTTTTGAGTTATTGCAGAACTGTAAAAGTAATCGATGATAATGTCCGTACCACTCAGTGTCATGCTGAAAAGAACTGTAAAATGATTTAAAACTACTATGTGACCGGTTTCCAGTACCGTTCTCATCGCTCTGCAATCGGTCCCGCAAATCGACCACCTTGTTGTGTCAACGGACACACCACACACGCGTACTCTACGAATTGTGTTTCCGTGTGCCAATACAGTAGATTGAGTGCCCCCTGATTTGTCTTGTATCTCGTTCAGAGAGAATCTGCAGCTATCTCTGACACATTTGGATAAGTATCTGGCGATCGACTATTCCATCGGTTTGGGGATACAGGACCATCCAGCGGCTCTGTCGCATTAGTAGAAGCAAAGCGTTCGAAATTGCGGTTACAAAAACCACCGATCTGGGCAAACCTTGATTAACGGCTGACTTACCAAGCGGATGCAACTGTGCGTTTCCGCGTTGATGAACATACCAAAGATAAATGAGAGGTTCACCAAGGTTGTTGCTTATCTCTTTGGCACTGATCTTGGCAGCCATGTTAATTAGGCGCGCTTATTCTAACAGTTGCATTAAGACTATGGAGGTTCGAAAGATTTCCCTAATAATTGATATAACGCGTAATGCACAGGAAGCTGGGTTGGATTCTGATCGCACAAACCTCAATCTCACATTTTCAGCGATATAACGTTCTCTGAGAAGAGCACTTCGGAGTCTCTCAATAGCGAAAGAGTTATTCCACACTTGAATAATCCAACTCCTCGCTTGCTGGAGGCACAGTCACCGTTCTTGCAGTTTAGGATGCAAAGCCGTCAGATTGGTTTCACGGTGGAGCAATTGTAACCAATCACTCTCGAACTGTTGTCGTAGGGAATAAAACATGCTGAATTACTCCTAAAACTTCAATACAGCTCTTCAGTTTTGATTTCCGTTTCTGAAACAAATTGCCGGAAATCGTTCTGTTTTGCTGCGAAAACCTAGTAGGACATATAATGTGTCCTGATGAAGCAATCGTAGTTTGAGATTTCTGACACCAGTGTTTGATACTCAGATTGATCGGACGGTTGTGCTCTGGAAACAGAATGCCGATCGAGAATCCGATCATGTATCATCGGTATATTTGTAGGTGTTTCACATAACATTAACTTAAACTTTCTTTTCTGACAATATTGTTAAAGGTATGATATCCAATTGAATTCCATTTGTAATTCAAAGACCAAGAAACTGCGTTTACTGGTTATTTAGAGTGTAACTTTCTCACACTTCATACACATTCGGCACCCAAAACCTATCGTTCATCCCCGCAAACAGCAGCATGTGATATTCACTCCAAGGGTGAAAAATTGTGCATTTCTAATGCCATAATGCTCACTTAGCAAGTACTTGAAAGGTTCCCATGAAACTTAACATTCAGCTTGTTCCTTACCGTACAACAGTGCAACAGTGACTTATGTTGTACCAATTCATTGCGGTTACCTTTATCTGGAATGCCCGAGAATAAGGGTTAATAGCTGGTCAAATTGCCGACCGGCATTTTGCTCGTACAGGAGCAATCGGGATCGAATGTCAAATGCAAATGAAATTGTACGTCTCATCATTTTTTCCAATCTATTTCATGTTGAACTCGCTTTCGATGCTACAGATATAAGGGGATTTTCGTTCTCCTTAATAATATGCACCTTCAATCTGTGCAATCCGTAATGTACGTAGGACAACAGCCCTGATTAGTTTCCTCACTCAAAACTCCAGTCGCCGATCTGTGTTGCTTCTGAAAAACGTGTGTCCAAAGCTCCAGCTCCATCATCCGACAAACATTCCCACTCAACCAAGCCGCGAAGTGTCACCTACGCCTTTCTAGGGATTCTGAGGCTGCGGCTTCTGGTGTTGCAGAAGTTGGCGGTACTCTCAGTAAGACAGCTGAAACTGTGCCGCCAAATCGGATTCCAGTCAACAGTCGGTTGACTACTCTTGTCTTATCTGCGTACGCACCTACGGACTGCCAGGTTCGCTTTCTGTTTTTAAACCCATGAACCATGCGTTTCCGTGTGCCGGTTTTTGTTGCCCATTTGCGTAAAAGAGCAAACGGAAAGTTGGAATACTGGGAGCCAATTCAAAGAGACAGACTGGGATCGCATGATGGATGCATGATCACCGCTGTTGGCGACGCCCAGCTATATCACTCAGTGTCTTCAACCACCGGTTACGATGATCTCGGAGTCCGCATCCAGCGAAACTAACGGGACCTATGTGACTGACTTTCCTGGCTAGGGTTTTCTCACTCATGCCAGGTCTTAGTTTTACCGCCATTGACCTTCTTCCATTCACTGCTTGCCTCGGCAAACATCACGCGCCTATTTAGTGACATGCACAAATTATGTCCCAACCACTGTTATATACAGAAGTCGACCACGAATACCCAAAACTCTGCGCCTAACCTCAGCATTGTTCGTCCGGTTTCCCCACCAGGCCCATGCAATGCAGCGGAGACAGGGTTGTTCGAACACCCACAATCTATTTTTGTCCTACCGTTTGTAGCCTAAGT